TTTTACCCGTGAATCTTCACTTTGCGACTAAACTATTCACAGCAGTGCCAAATTTTCTGGGTCACTGAATATGGGTGCCAGCGCCTTACAAGGAAAAAAAATCAAATCAAATCAATCCGACCACTGACATTACAGCTGGGCCATGCTATGGAGAGGTACATTGAAATTGAAAGGTCAGCACAAATGGTCAAAATCGAACATTTTCTCACATTTCTGTACGTTCGCAGCTCAGAAAACGACAAAGACCATCCTCATCACCTTGTGTAGCTGGACATAGACAAGTGCACAAGAAAAAGAGCCACATATCTCTTAAGAACTCGCCCAGGGCTGCTGAAAGTTGAAAAAGAACCTATCTGACACTTTGGGGCTTTTTACCTGTGAATCTTCACTTTGCGACTAAACTATTCACAGCAGTGCCAAATTTTCTGCGTCACTGAATGCGGGTGCTAGCGCCCTACAAGGAAACCAAAAATCAAATCAATGAAGCCACTGACATTACAGCTGGGTCATGTTATAGAGAGGTACATTGAAATTCAAAGGTCAGCACAAATGGTCAAAATCCGACATTTTCTCACCTTTCTCCCCGTTCGCTGCTCAGAAACAGACAATGACCATCCTCGTTTCCTTGTGTAGCTGGACATAGACAAGTACACCAAGAAAAACAGCCACATATCTCTAAAGAACTCGCCCAGGGCTGTTGAAAGCTGAAAAATATCCTATTTGATAGTTTGGGGCTTTTTACCCATGAATCTTCACTTTGCGACTACTCTATTCACAGCAGTGCCAAATTTCCTGGGTCAATGAATGTGGGTGCCAGCGCCCTACAAGCAAACCAAAAATAAAATTAATGCGACCACCGACATTACAGCTGTGTGATGTTATAGAGAGGTACATTGAAATTCAAAGGTCAGCACAAATGGTCAAAATCCGACATTTTCTCACCTTTCTGCCCGTTCGCAGCTCAGAAAACGACAATGACCATCCTCATCCCCTTGTGTAGCTGGACATAGACAAGTGCACCAACAAAAAGAGCCACATTTCTCTAAAGAACTCGCCCAGGGCTGCTGAAAGCTGAAAAATAACCTATCTGACACTTTGGGGCTTTTTACCCATGAATCTTCACTTTGCGACTAAACTATTCGCAGCAGTGCCAAATTTTCTGGGTCACTGAATGTGGGTGCCAGCGCCCTACAAGCAAACCAAAAATCAAATCAATGCGACAACTGACATTACAGCAGGGTCAGGTTATAGAGAGGTACATTGAAATTCAAAGGTCAGCACAAATGGTCAAAATCCGACATTTTCTCACCTTTCTGCCCGTTTGCAGCTCAGAAACAGACAATGACCATCCTCATCTCCTTGTGTAGCTGGATATAGAAAAGTACACCAAGAACAAGAGCCACATTTCTCTAAAGAACTCGCCCAGGGCTGCTGAAAGCTGAAAATAACCTATCTCACAGTTTTGGGCTTTTTACCCGTGAATCTTCACTTTGCCAAAACTATTCACAGCAGCACCAAATTGTCGGTGTCAATGAATGTGGGTGCCAGCGCCCTACAAGCAAACCAAAAATCAAATCAATGCAACCACTTAAAAATTACAGCTGGGTCATGTCATAGAGAGGTACATTGAAATTCAAAGGTCAGCACAAACGGTCAAAATCCGACATTTTCTCACCTTTCTGCCCGTTCGCAGCTCAGAAAACGACAATGACCATCCTCATCTCCTTGTGTACCTGGCCATACACAAGTACACCAAGAAAAAGAGCCACATTTCTCTAGAAACCCTCGCCGAGGGCTGTTGAAAGCTCAAAAATAACCTATCTGACAGTTTGGGACTTTTTACCCGTGAATCTTCACTTTGCGACTAAACTATTCACAGCAGTTCCAAATGTTCTGGGTCACTGAATGTGGTTGCCAGAGCCTTACAAGCATACCACAAATCAAATCACCGCGACCACGGACATTACAGCTGGGTCATGTTATAGAGAGGTACATTGAAATTCAAAGGTCAGCACAAATGGTCAAAATCCGACATGTTCTCACCTTTCTGCCCGTTCGGAGCTCAGAAAATGACAATGAACATCCTCATCTCCTTGTGTAGCTGGACATAGACAAGTACACTAAGAAAAAGAGCCAAATTTCTCAAAAGAACTCGGCCAGGGCTGCTGAAAGCTGAAAAATAACCTATCTCACAGTTTGGGGCTTTTTACCCGTGAATCTTCACTTTGCGACTAAACTATTCAAAGGAGTGTCAAATGTTCTGGGTCACTGAATGTGGTGTCCAGCGCCCTACAAGCAAACCAAAAATCAAATCACTGCGACCACTGACATTCCAGCTGGGTCATGTTATAGAGAGGTACATTGAAATTCAAAGGTCAGCACAAATGGTCAAAATCCGACATGTTCTCACCTCTCTGGCCGTTCGCAGCTCAGAAAATGACAATGACCATCCTCATCTCCTTGTGTAGCTGGACATAGACAAGTACACCAAGAAAAAGAGCCACATTTCTCTACAGAACTCGCCCAGGGCTGCTGAAAGCTGAAAAATAACCTATCTGACAGTTTGGGGCTTTTTACTCGTAAATCTTCACTTTGCGACCAAACTATTCACAGCAGTGCCAAATTTTCTGGGTCACTAAATGTGGGTGTCAGCGCCCTACAAGCAAACCAAAAATCAAATCAATGCGACCACTGACATTACAGCTGGGTCATGTTATAGAGAGGTACATTGAAATTCAAAGGTCAGCACAAATGGTCAAAATAGCACATTAGAGCTTGCGGTAATGCACAAGCCACCACTTCACACGCGCTCCAGCGGCTTCCAAAGAGCCCGCAGATCCCCCGCTATTCATTGATGCATGTCAAGTAACACGTACATGCACGCTGTGGTGGCATGTAGCATGCGTACGCCGGAACTCACCTGAACTCGCCAGCCAACCAGCCATATGCGGCTGCAGCAGACATCGGAGCTTGAACCCGTAACGCATACACCATACTTCGCGCTGGCCACATTGCTACTTCATATTTGCTTTGCTTGGGTAGTGAGAAGAACACCGGTTTGTTCCTTTCTCTCTCTTTCACCATGCCACGATGCTTTGTACGAGGAAGCAGACGTGGACGCGGACGCGGGTATGCCGTCGAGGTTACCCGTCGCCGCTCGGGTAGGACTTCGACCTCGCCATACGCGCGGACTGACGGCATGCGCGCCTTCGCGCCTGATGCCTCCGACACACCGTCAGCAGCTAGTTCAGACTTCTGACCCCGCTCCAGGCACCAAAGCTTCTATGCAGGACGAGCCCTCATTGCTCTCCCCGGACATCATTTCCTCAGCCGTGATGAAGATGAACGCCCTCCACCCTCTCCTCGAGCGCGTGGAACGCCTGGAGAACAGTGCTGAGTCTGGAAGCCGATCTCTCCCACACGCGCGCTCCGCACCTGAAAGATCGCTCCCACGCTCGGAGCGTCAAGCTCCGGAACTATCTTGCCCGGAACTTCCAGTTCTATCGGAACCTCCGACTTTGCCAGGACCTCCAGTTCTCTCCGAGCCCTCGGTTCTACCCACACCGCCACGTCGTGCGATTGAAAAAATCCAGCGCGGAGAGTTTTTGGAACTTGACGAACTCTTGCCGGAAAACTTCAGCTCTCAGGAACAGGAGCCAATACAACTGGTTACAGCTGGCGGCGATATGGCTCAGCTCTCGCTCAACCTCAGCGCAAAGCACACGCGCGCGATCAACGACTTCTCGGCTTGGCTGGAGGCCTGGACGATCTACATGGGCATCGTCGTTCGTGCTCATCCTGACCGAGCTCATGAGCTCGTCTGCTACCAGCACATACTTTGTACTGCGAACTAACAGTTCACGACGTCTGCTGTGCTGAACTATGATCGAGCATTTCGCCAACACACCGCCAGCATGGCACTGCGCTGGGACGTTATCAATCAGACGCTGTGGAGTATTCACCTACTCCGCTCTCCCCGTCCGTCATGCACCAAATGCACGCTCCAACACAGCCGCGACCGCTGTCCACATGCCGCAGCTCAACACGCGCAGCCCTTTCCATCAGTGGCGGGCAGCACCCGCCAAGTCTGTTTTAACTTCAACCGCGGCAGGCCCTGCTCCCGCACACCCTGCGACCGTCTCTACGCCCGCAGCTCCTGTGAAGACAAAGGACATGCCGCCACATCCTGCACCAGCACCACCCGCTTCAGGTGGCAGCGCCCTGCAAATAGCCACGAGAAGACTTCGAAGCCCACTGAGAAAAAGTAAGCCGACTTCCACTCCCCTGAACACTGTTCGCTTTCACACATTACTGCCTTCCTCAGAATTGTGCTGGACACGGTGCGCATGGAAGCCCGTCTCCCAGACGACAAACTGGCGGACCTCCGCGAGCTCCTCAGCGAGCTCCTCAGTAGTGACTACACCCAATTTCCAAAACTTGCTCCGATCGCTTCCATTTTGGTCTCATTCGATTCTCCCAGGCCTAGTACATAGGAAATCTGCAAGTATTATTCAAATCGGCCCAGCCATTCTTGAGTTTTAGTGATTTGAAGTGCGCCAAGTTGGACTTTTGCTGGAAACAGAACTGAGTGGGAGTGATGGGAGAATCGAGAACGACCGCACAGTCAGTGCATGCAGTACAGTGTACAGTGCACACGCCTCGTCACTCGAACTGCGCGTACGAAATTGCATACTTTGGTATGCTGGCGCAGAACAAATTCTCTCGTAGAGGAAGACGAAAGCGTCTCAACGCCTTGTAATTTCACATGGCCAGTAGTTTTGCGACGCTGAAGACGATGGAATAGTCCGCGACGCTGCGACCCGACCAGAACAACCCGAAATTCATACCCTGAAAAAGCGCTGAGCGCAGAGCTCCTAAATTTTGTCGTATGGAAACGGGACTTCGGGTCTCAAGGACACGAACATCTCCTCTCTCAGATAAAGCAATTCACTCAATGCGATATTCTACAATTTGACCTGGCCACGCCAAAATGCACTGCCATGTCGGATTCTCCCATCGGAAGTATAGAAACTTGTTTCCAAAAAATCAGCGTCTGGGTGCGAGGGAGTAAAGTCACTATCCTCAGCGAGCTGTCACGCTGCACCCAGACCACGCAACGCAAACTCGATCACTTCCTGGGGAAACTCTCCTTTGCGTCGAGCGTCGTCGTACCAGGCAGAACATTTACGCGGCGCTTATGGGATATCAACAAGAGGTTTAGCCGCACCAAGCCCTATTTCCGTATCACTCTGACAGGCGAGGCCAGGAAAGACATCCGCTGGTGGCAGCTTCTGATCCAGCACTGGAACGGGAAGGCATTCCTCCTCTATAACAGCAGTACATCGTCGGCCGACCTTGGACTGTACACAGACGCTAGCGGCACTCTCGGCTGGGGCGCATTCTACGGCAAGGAGCAGCGCTGGATCCAGGGCAGTTGGACAAAGGAGCAAGAAGAAGAGAGCATCGGATACAAAGAGCTCTATGCCGTGGCAATGGCTTGCAGTACTTGGGGCCATCTGTGGTCCCAGCAACGTATAGTACTGCATTGCGAAAATCAGTCCGTTGTCGAATGCCTGCAGTCAAGCTCCAGCAAGTCACCAGGCATGATGTCACTGCTGCGTGCATTGTTCTTCGTTTGTGCAACTCACAGCTTCACCATTACTGCCAAATATGTACCTGGGCATCTGAATTCTATCGCCGATGCTCTGTCTCGTTTCAACCTGCAGGCATTCCAGCAGCTGGCACCATCGGCAAAGCAACCCCCGGACACTGCAATCCGCCTCCCTCTTCTGGACTGATGCGGGAGGTCGCCGACCTGGCAGCCATGGCAATCGCCCCGACAACACGGCGCACGTACACCACTGGCGAAAGGAAATTTACGCAATTCTGTGCGTTGCAGAGATGGACGCCCATGCCGGCTACAGACACGATGCTCAGCTGCTTCGCAGCACACCTCACACAATCGGTTCAACCACAGACAATTCATGTCTACATGGCCGCAGTACGCAACATGCATCTCGAAGCCGGATTCCGCGATCCAACGATGAACGCATTGCTGCTGCCACGTGTTATGCGAGGTATCAAGAGGACGGCGACTGACCCGGCAATCCAGCGCACTCGCCTCCCAATCACCATTGATTTGCTGCGGAAGCTCCTCAACCAACTCAGCCTGGACCAACGGCGTCACCAGCAGGACAAGTGCATGCTCAAGGCGGCAATGGTGCTCGCCTTCTTCGGATTTCTCCGATGCGCTGAATTTACTGCGCCTCCAGCCGGGTTTGACCCTGCCACTCATGCCACGCGCCAGGATATGACTCTGGATGTCACTCAAGGACGCACATATATCCGCTTCCACATCAAGCAATCGAAGACGGACCAAATCCGTCAGGGCCATGCAGTGATAATCGGTAGTACCACTTCACAACCTTGCCCGGTTGCCGCCCTCCTGGCATATTTTACAGTCTGTCCGTCTGACGCCGCTGACGCACTCTTCCGCTACCGCTCTGGGAGACCGCTGACCAGGCAGGCACTGACAGAAGAGCTCCGACAGCTTCTCCCACTCACGAGAACACCCAATTCACGCGATTACGCTGGTCATTCGTTCCGCATCGGTGCCGCCACAACTGCAGCCATGGCGGGTACCCCTGACTGGCTAATCAGGGCAATGGGCCGATGGAGAAGCGACAGTGTCTTGCGCTACATCAGGACAACCGACACAGACATGGCGCAGCTGACCCAAAAGCTGTCAGAGGTACAAGCGCATCACAGAACGCATGGAGGTATGTACGAACCCGCCACGCGGGCACGCAACTCGCACCCATGCACGTACCCACACGGCTGACCGTTTGGAACAGCACAGCAACTTGCTCTGCTAGGATTGTGCTGACAAACTGCGCTGATAGCAACAACAGTGTCATTCACGTGCATTGCAATGTGTCACAACTTAGCATGGAGGCTGGGCAACCATGGGCCAGCTATCTCCTCTCATCTGGCAATTATCACGGCCTTCGGCCATCACACACATACTCCCACACTCCTGCCTCCTAACGGGCATTGCACTTCGTGCGTGGACCGTCCACACTCCGTCCATTTCATGGGCTGCACTTTGTGCGTGGACATACATACACACTATCATACAGGCCGTCCACACTCCGCCCAGTTCATGGGTGCCCATTTTATGGGCTGCACCTCGTGCGTGGACTACCCTACATGAATATCACATGCCAGATTCGGTTGCCCAGCACTCCATAAATCCTCCAAGTGATGTGTGCTCTCCACTGGTCTGCAATAGCGAATGCATGCGTGTTAATCTGACATTTTCTCACCTTTCTGCCCATTCGCAGCTCAGAAAATGACAATGACCATCCTCATCTTCTTGTGTAGCTGGACATAGACAAGTGCACCAAGGAAAAGAGCCACATTTCTCTAAAGAACTCGCCCAGGGCTGCTGAAAACTGAAAAATAACCTATCTCACAGTTTGGGGCTTTTTACCCGTGAATCTTCAATTTGCGACTAAACTATTCACAGCAGTGCCAAATTTTCTGGGTCACTGAATGTGGATGCCAGCGCCCTACAAGCAAACCCAAAATCAAATCAATGCGACCACTGACATTACAGCTGGGTCATGTTGTAGAGAGGTCCATTAAAATTCAAAGGTCAGCACAAATGGTCAAATTCCGACATTTTCTCACCTTTCTGCCCGTTCGCTGGTCAGAAATTGACAATGACCATCCTCCTCTCCTTGTGTAGCTGGACGTAGACAAGTCCACCAAGAAAAAGAGCCACATTTCTCTTAATAACTCGCCCAGGGCTGCTGAAAGCTGAAAAATAACCTATCTGACACTTTGGGGCTTTTTACCCGTGAATCTTCACTTTGCGACTAAACTTTTCACAGCAGTGCCAAATTTTCTGGGTCACTGAATGTGGTTGCCCGCGCCCTACAAGGAAACCAAAAATCAAAATCAATGCGACCACTGACATTACAGCTGGGTCATGTTATAGAGAGCTACATTGAAATTCAAATGTCAGCACAAATGGTCAAAATCCAACATTTTCTCACCTTTCTGCCCGTTCGCAGCTCAGAAACAGACAATGACCATCCTCATCTCTTTGTGTAGCTGGATATAGACAAGTGCACCAAGAAAAAGAGCCACATTTCTCTAAAGAACTCGCCCAGGGCTGCTGAAAGCTGAAAAATAACCTATCTCACAGTTTGGGTCTTTTTACCGGTGAATCTTCACTTTGCGACTAAACTATTCACAGCAGTGCCAAATTTTCTGGGTAACTGAATGTGGGTGCCAGCGCCTTACAAGCAAACCTAAAATCAAATCAATCCGACCACTGACATTACAGCTGGGCCATGTTATAGAGAGGTACATTGAAATTGAAAGGTCAGCACAAATGGTCAAAATCCGACATTTTCTCACCTTTCTGCCCGTTCGAAGCTCAGGAAACGACAAAGACTATCCTCATCTCCTTGTGTAGCTGGACATAGACAAGTGCATAAGAAAAAGAGCCACATATCTCTAAAGAACTCGCCCAGGGCTGCTGAATGTTGAAAAATAACCTATCTGACACTTTGGGGCTTTTTACCCGTGAATCTTCACTTTGCGACTAAACTATTCACAGCAGTGCCAAATTTTCTGGGTCACTGAATGTGGGTGCCAGCGCCCTACAAGCAAACCAAAAATCAAATCAATGCGACCACTGACATTACAGCGGGGTCATGTTATAGAGAGGTATATTGAAATTCAAATGTCAGCACAAATGGTAAAAATCCGACATTTTCTCACCTTTCTGCCCGTTTGCAGCTCAGAAACAGACAATGACCATCCTCATCTCCTTGTGTAGCTGGATATAGACAAGTGCACCAAGAACAAGAGCCACATTTCTCTAAAGAACTCGCCCAGGGCTACTGAAAGCTGAAATAACCTATCTCACAGTTTGGGGCTTTTTACCCGTGAATCTTCACTTTGCGACTAAACTATTCACAGCAGTGCCAAAATTTTCGGGTCAATGAATGTGGGTGCCAGCGCTCTACAAGCAAACCAAAAATCAAATCAATGCAACGACTGACATTACAGCTGGGTCATGTCATAGAGAGGTACATTGAAATTGAATGGTCAGCACAAATGATCAAAATCCGACATTTTCTCACCTTTCTGCCCGTTCGCAGCTCAGAAAACGACAATGACCATCCTCATCTCCTTGTGTACCTGGACATAGACAAGTGCACCAAGAGAAAGATCCACATTTCTCTACAGAACTCGCCCAAGGCTGCTGGAAGCTGAAAAATAACGGCAGGGTCAAATTTCTTGGGGCACTGCCTACGGGTGAAAGCCATAGTCAGCAATCGCATGTCATCACGTACATTGAAAATCAACATAATTTTGCGAATCGCCTTTTTTTTCAGGATCACTTTTCAACGAAGACGAAGCAAAGTCGGCCGAACGAAGCCTAGAGGAAGAAAATCACCCTCTCCACTTCACCATCACGATACTGACATAGATACGAGCTGAAACAACTAAAAAATCCACAAGAAAACTGTACGGCGACTTTGGTCTGACTTTGGTCTGAGAATTTCTATCACAATCAAAAATGTACGAGGAGCACTCAAAAATAAGCCACAGACGTACCTTTATCGCTCTCTACTCCTTTTTCAAGGCACAAAAGTCGACTCTCCACTTTCAAACCAGGAACTAGACATACCAGTGGTCCTTTTCAGCTGCTCCACGAGCGCAGGAAATGATCACCAAGGGGTGCAGAGCAGCATCCATTCCAGAAAAAAGAGCTAAAATACGAGTGAGACTGCATGCCTGAGTACATAAGTACATGTATGAGTACATGCAGAAAATAGTCAATTTCAGCGTTTCTGCTCCAAACAGCAACTAGCTTCGACTAGAAACAAAGATTACACCAAAGGATCAAACAACCATTTTCTGCAGTTTTTTGCAGATGGCTTCCTTGTGCTTGGCCCAGCACGCCAAAAATCACACCTCGGAGGAGTACAAAAATTACAACTCTCAGATGTCCTCGATTGCCGGGCCTCCTAGCAAACCAAAAATCTAAGCAATTCCAGCACCCACATTGCAGCTGGGCACATTTACCCACAGGTACATTGAAATGAACAGGTGTGCACAAATGGTCAAAAATTCACCATTTCTCACCTTTCCGACTATTCACAGCTGCAACATGGACAGTGACCACCGTGAATTCCTGCAATAGGCACACAAAGCGTAGTGCACGACAGAAATGACACACATTGTCGTAAACGACCTGCCCAGGGCTCCTGAACCCTGTAATCCACCTATCTCCAAGTTTGGGGCATATTGCCCGTACATCCGCAGCTGGAACTCAAGCCAGTTACGGCAGGGTCAAATTTCCTTTGGCACTGCCTACGAGTGCAACCGGCCTACTGGCAAACCAAAAATCTAAGCAATTCCAGCACCCACATTGCAGCTGGGCACATTTACCCACAGGTACATTGAAATGAACAGGTGTGCACAAATGGTCAAAAATTCACCATTTCTCACCTTTCCGACTATTCACAGCTGCAACATGGACAGTGACCACTGTGAATTCCTACTATAGTCACACAACGGGTAGTGCACGACAGAAATGACACAGGTGTCAATGTCGACCTGCCCAGGGCTCCTGAACCCTGTAATTCATCTATCTCCAAGTTTGGGGCATTTTGCCCGTACATCCGGAGCTGGAACTCAAGCCAGCTACGGCAGGGTCAAATTTCCTGGGGCACTGCCTACGAGTGCAAGCGGCCTACTAGCAAACCAAAAATCT